CCCAAAGGAATACATTTATGGTCTTTAATTTATGTGAAAAGAAGTAGAAAGTTTCTCAGAGAGAATGCATATCATTACCCAGATAGTAGATGGCAGAATAACATATAAACTCAGGTCTAATTCCAAAACTTAACTTTTCTATACTTCTCTATGCTGGCTCTTTCCATAAGTCTTACTTTGGCAGTAATATTATTTTGGTTATTTTAAATTTTGGTAATAATCACAGGATTGCCATAACAGAATTTAAATTCCTGTAGTCCAAAATATAAGTCAGGTACATGAAAAACGAATGACTGTATAAACTGTGATCTTGCATCAGCTTTAGCAAAAGTATTTCTCTCTTCCTTTAATGATACTACTTTTAAGGAGAAGTCAGATTCCTTATCTATTATGTAAAAAATGCTATAGTTTCTGTATTACTCATTAATTTTCATTCTGCAGCATGGAGAGAATTTACTCACCCACTGTAGTTTTCGGAGGAGTAGATGGTGCTGTGGGGGAGGTGAGGGCCAGCACAGATCTCAGGTAAGCATTCAGTGTGAAGCAGGGACCAGGAACGCCCATGGTTAGTAGAAAACTCCAAGCTGACACTAGTAACAACAGAACAAGCACAACACAAAAGCGGCAAAGATTTAAAAAATTACTTTTCATCTCTGCCTAAACACAATAAACATCTTTAGAACTAGTGTGAGATTTCTTTAAGATGGCTCTTTACTAAATGATTGCTTTCTCTTTCWCCCAGGTCTGACCAGCCTTCAAAGGGCAAGCAGTTAAATTACTGCTATAATAACAAACTCCTTTAAAAGACAACAAATGGTAACTTGAGTCTGAGCTCTTGAATTTGATAGATGGCAAGGCAATTACCATGTCTCACACTGTCACTTCATCCTGTGAAAGTGAGACACAAAAATTCTTAGAAAGGATCCCAGCAACACTTCTGCAAGTGAAACTGAGAAGYCATAGCTCTTGAAGTGCTAATTGATTTCCCTGCCTATTATTAGGGGGTCACTAGCCAACATGAGGTCAAGCTTGTTTTCAGTTGTTACTCTCTCAGCAATCTGTTRTAATGGATGGCTGCCACAGYGCATGCACACACCTCTCATACCTAAGATCATGCTCTTAGAATGAAGCCAATTCCTACTTAAAATCTACCCAGTCATAACCCACCTATTAACCGAAGGACTTCTCTTTTGGGGAAAATGTGTATTTTATTAATGGATATTTTATTAAAAATCCAGCTAAAAACCTACTGAGAAATTGTCTCTGATTTAACAGCCAAGTTCATGTGTTCATTTTTAACTGTTAGTACACCCACAAAATAGGGTTTCCTACCTGTTACCAGGTTGATGTGTTCCACATCCCAGATTAATAGAAAACTGTATCATGTGAGACATTGTAGAAGGGAGAACAGGTAAGACGTGGAAAAAGTCTACAGCCCAGACATTCCTATTATGTCCTTGATGGTTCTTTTGCCTGAGACAAAATTTGGTAGCAGGAGTCTGAAGTTCAGGGTTGATGACCACGGACACCAAAGATGGAACCTTCCAAATAAAGGAAACCAAATCACTCATAACCTTTCCTATGTTAGTCAATGTGTATTCTCCTAGGTTCTCTCTAGTCATCGCTAAATACATAACTGCCATCTGTTGAGCATCAGGCAATAGCCCTGTGTTCCATTTGTTATTTCATGTAGAAGATGCTGTCAAGGAGCATTTTTTTTTTTATTAGTGACTCAGAATTCCTCCTTTGAAGACAAGTGTGGTTTCTTGTGTGTGATTGATCGGGTTCTCTGTTCAAAGACAAATTGATCTAAGGTTTTAAAAAGTTATTAAAGTATATTTATCCATTTTATCTACATTAGCACAAGACAAAGGAAACTTGACATTTACTTGGCTTTATCAATAGTGCTTTGGAAAGTGGAGTTGTATGATATTAATGGTTTTCCAAACCAGGTATTCTGAAAATAGTACTCTAAGCAGAAACTTTCAGAGCCAATGAGTTAATGTATAACTTATACAATTGATTTGGTCTGAGACATGCAGATGCCAGACCAGATATAACCCCACCATGTCCCTGATGTAAAAGTAGTTCACTAAGAAATCCCAATATCTAGCATGTTCCCAAGTGGTATAACATGGGAACATGCTGGATATTGTCATCAATATTGGAGATAAAGCTGACTAATGAGCATGTGGGCATAGTCTCAGCACAGGTAAGTCTATTATAATAAAAATAATTTAAATCTGATGCCCTATGACAAGCATCTCACGTGATTTGACGATATATATTTGCAAATAACCAGAGACAACATTTGCCCTGTATCCACAGGGCAAAGGAAAAAGGTCAACCTCAGTCACTCTAATTAGCAAAGAAGAAAGCAAAGGTAACATAAAAGTTCTGTTACAATGTCATCTGCCTAACAAATCTCAAAAGGCTGRATAAATACTTATTAAGCTTGATAGCAAGGCTGTAAGGCTGCATAATTACAGTCATATTTAGAGCTTTCCTGGGGACAAGAATAACTGTCAGTCAGAGTATTTGGTTCCATTTTATTATTGCTGATGGGCTATAATTCTTTCTTCTTGATAAAATCTAATGTTTATTTGTATCAGAAATAAAAGTGAATATTAAAATGTCCATGTCACTTTTTTTTTTAAACTGGCAATTTCTTGGGCTACCAGGAAAGAGATTTATTCTCTGTATCTGTCATGGTCTTCATGGTTTTGACTTTGGCTTGTCTGGGGAGTTGTGAGRTGAGCATTTGGCACAAGGATTGGAAGTTGTACCTTATATGAGGAATAGGAAAGAGTATCCAGTGCAATATGCTCTTTTCTTCCTTCTATCTTTGCATACAAGATGATGTCATTTTCGTGAGAATCTCCAGGGTCACAAATTCCTCCTGCACCAAATAAAAATTTCATGGTGTTAGTACCAACCTGCATTCCCCAAACATCAAATACAGTGTTAAATTTCAGAATAAGAAATAACTATGCCACCCAGATGTCACTTAATAATCCTAGGGGCTGCAGTTGTAGCTCAGTGGTAGAACACTTTCCTCACACGTGTGAGGCACTGGATTTGATCCTCAGCACCACAAAAAATAAAATAAATAAAACAAAAGTATTGTGTTCACCTACAACTAAAAAAAATGATCCTAAACAAAGATAATCAAACCCAAGGAAATCATTCATGAAGATAGTTCAGATGAGCCATGCTAAAGACTTGATATTTGTGAAGGTCAAAGTAACTATTTGCTTAATGGGATTACTCAAGTAAATGTCTGTGTGTAGCAGGACAACATGTCTCTGTTTCAACCCACATTAAAAATGATATGCTTTTGGGGAGAGAAAGGGGCTGAATTAGAGCAAATTATATTCCATCCTTTTATAAATTACATCAAAATGAGTTCTAGTGTAATGTATAACTAAAAAGAATCAATAAAAAGATGTGCTCTTGCTTTTTAATAAACCATTACTTTCTTATATTTGAGGTCTTTATGTTCAAAGTTCAGAACCTATTGATTATGATTTTAAAACAAGTTTGGTGATGCACTGCATTAAAGACTTACAAAGTGGTGTCATTCAGGCTGTTGCAAAGTAATACCTATGGTATTTTAGCATATATATTTGTATTTTAAGTGAGGTTCATTTTAAATTTTTCATTTTTATATTTGGTACTTCATTTTATTGTTGGAAGGTACATAAAGTAGTTATCCACTATCTACTTCACAGTCCACATGAAATGATATGCTATTAGAACTGGAAGGTACTTAAGATTTTTCTGATGATGAAATTGAATATCAGGGAAGGTACTGGAAGTTCAAAATCATTTAACCAGCTGGTGGAAAAGCCACAAGTAGATACAAGTCTTTTACCCTTTGATCCTCTGTATTTTAGTCAGCGTTTTCATTGCTGTGACCAAAAGACCTGACTGCAACAATTTTAGAGGAGGAAGAGTTTATTTGAGGCTCACAGTTTTAGAGGTGGTGGAAGGATGTGGTGGAGGAAAACAGCTTAGGACATAACCATCAGGAAGCAGAGTGAGAACTTGCTCACCAGGGACAAAATGTATACCCCAAAGGCACACTCCCAGTGATCTACTTCCTCTAGCCACACCCTACCTGCCTAGTTACACGCCCCCCATAATCCATTCAAGTGCATTAATGCATTGATTCAGTTAAGGCTTTCATAACTCAATCATTTTACTTCTAAACTTTCTTGCATTATCTCACACATGAGCTTTTGGGGGACACTTCATATCTAAACCATAACACTGTTCTTTTCACTACTGTGCTTTGCCAATAATTCTTGCTATTTCTGACTTCTATCCATCGTCTGCATAACCTGGATTTTAAAGGATCCCATATCTAACTAGATGCCTCTCCCCACCCACCATTATCCTTCATATTAGTTATAATCATGACAACAGAAGTGTGAATGTGTATATGAAATTACTGGAAAATATCCTATCCTTAAGGCCCAAAGTTTGTAACATTATTACAAACTTTTATTATTATTATTATTATTATTATTATTATTTTTGTGTGTGTGGTGGTGGGGATTGAACCCAGGACCTTGTGCATGCAACGTGAGCAGTCTACCAACTGAGCTATATTCCCAGCCCCACAAACTTTAATTATTACCTGAAAAATTCTTTCAGTTCTTAAATCAGCCACTTTGAATGTTAATTTTTATCTACAGGCACCTGCTGTTGCTAGCACTCTATGGTGCCAGTAATGCAATCCCAGAGTTCTAGAATGAGATTACCCTTTGAGAATTAAACTAGTAAAATAAATAATGGTTGAGACTCTCAATGTGAAATAAAACACACCAAGAAAGGGTCAATTGCTTATAAATGGTTGATTCAAAATCCATCAGCTTAACTGGTTCTGATCTTAGGAAGAAATGATTTGCTAAGTGATGTTAAATAAGAAAAGTAGAAAGAATCTAATCAGTACAAGAAATTTCATAATAATAGAAGAAATATTAGCAAAAAAAGAAGGACATTCATAGAGCAAGACTTTGACAGGATGTCTATAGCCTGGACAGGAATAAAAGGGTTTTTTTAATGATAAAGGCAAGCCCTGTTAATTCATTTGTCAAGAAGTATCCTGCAGTGAAGAATGATATATCAGATTATCCTAGTTCTGAAATTCTTGCCATTAAAATGACTGGGTGATAGGTATATCTGATTTGATCCTATAAACATTGTTTATTCCTTAATGCTTAACAGTTAAAATTGTCATACTTATTGAGAAGAATTATGATTTGTCCATTAGCCTCCTCAGAGCTTTTAGCAGGAGCCAGTCTCCAAGATCCCCTTTCTGGGATTAATTAAGAAAATTGATTTTTTTTTTCTGAATCTATAAGCCTGAGACCTGCATAGTGACAGTAATGACTCCACCAAGGTCACCAGTGAAGCCCATTTTGATTGGCAAGCTGTCTTATTTATATAACTTCCTTAAAATTTCATCTTCCTAAATGCAACAATTCTCAATAATCTAAACCAATAGTTAAACAGATGAC